GTCAAAGCCTACAGGCGGGGGAGGGATCCCAGTGAAATCGCGCTGCAGATAACAGTGTGAAGTGTGGGGGGGGAGGGGCAAAAGTGGGGCCGTGCATCACCAGGTGCGGGCGCGAGTACATGTCGACCCGGCCCCTGTCGAAGCCCTCGGGCGGAGGGGGGATGCATGCCGGTGAAATCATGCTGCAAGGAAAGGTTTGCATTGGAGAGAGAGAACAAGGGAGGGTTGGATGGGGGGAAGGGAAGGGATCATCTCGAGGTGCAGGCGCGAGTACATGTCGACTCGACCCTCGTCGAAGCCTACGGGTGCGGGATCTAGGGTTCAGGGTTAAGGGGTTAAGGGTGCGGGAGGGATGCTGGTGAAATCACGCTGCAGAAAAAGAAAACGGGTTGCATGGGGAGGGTGACTGACGGGTAACGGGAGGGTGACGGGTTACGGGAGGGTGACGGGTAACGGGAGGGTGACGGGTAACAGGAGGGTGACGGGTAACGGGAGGATAACGATAGAAAGCAGAGTCCACGGCGACACGTTCCTCGTGTCAGTCAGTCACCACCAGGTTCCATCCAGTAGTGCAGCTGCTAGTGCCGCCCGCCTGTGATGTGATGCTGCTCTCCATCTGAGAGTTCATAGCTTACAACCACTCACCCGATCCCACAGATCTGTTTCCTCATCAATGGAAAGCATCATCCACGGCCACGTGTTCCTGTGTTGAGCTGCGTTCACTGCTGCTTGTACCACCTGCTTTACCACTCACCCGATCCCACAGGTCTTCCTCCATGACGATAGACAGCAGCGCCCACAGCCACACGTTCCTTGCGCCGGTCGGCACCAGGGTTCCTGTAGTGCTCTTTACCTTCTCCCCAAGCACCTTTCTATGTTATGCGATAGTGTTACTCACCCTGTCCCACAGGTCCTCCGATAAACAGCACCGTCCACGGCCACTCGTTCCTCGTGTCTATCTAGCATCTGGTTCCTATGGTGCTGTGGGAACGAGGCGACTTTTGAGTCGTCTCAAAAGTCACATCCCTACAGTGCAGTAGGTAGGAACCTTGCACATCTACTCACCCGATCCCACAGGTCCTCTTCCATAACGATAGAAAGCAGCGTCCACGGCCACACGTTCCTCGTGTCGGTCGGCACCAGGTTCCTGTAGTGCTCGCGCATCTTGCGCCGGGCGGCGTACAGCGTCTCATCTGGCAGCTGCTTGAGGTCCAGCCCCATGCTCCTCCCAGAGATGTGCACCGAGAACTCGTACATGGACAGCACGCGGTCTAAAGGCTCCCTGAAGAGAGTAGTTACTCCGGTGGCGGCGCCAGGGGGCAGCTGGGTGGTCATGCCGTAGTCGTCGTGTGTGGCTAGCAGACGGCAGCCCAGTCTGTTGGGGAGGTGAACCGGGGGGGAGGGAGAGGGGGGGGAGGGGGGAGAGGGGGGTGGGGGGGGGAAGGGACATGGGGCAGGGTGTACAGCATCTCATCCGGCAGCTGCTTGAGGTCCAGCCCCATGCTGCGGCCCGAGATGTGCACCGAGAACTCGTACATGGACAGCACGCGGTCTAAAGGCTCCCTGAAGAGAGTAGTTACTCCGGTGGCGGCGCCAGGGGGCAGCTGGGTGGTCATGCCGTAGTCATCGGGGGTGGCCAGCAGACGGCACCCAGGCTGATGGGCCGGTAAAAGGGAGGCAGGGGAAGTGAGAGGGGGAAAGAGGGGGAGAGGGGAGCTGGGTTCAGGGTAGGGAGCACTCGCAGCTGCTTGAGGTCGAGCCCCATGCTGCGGCCCGGGCTGCTTGAGGTCCATGCTCCATCCAGCCCCATGCTGCGGCCCGAGATGTGCACCGAGAAGAGAACTCGTACATGGAGAGCACGTGGATTAAGGGCTCATGGAATAGAGTTGTGATGCCTAGCGGCGCCAGGAGGGTGTTCATGATGTATCATATCATCATGGGTAGCCAGCAGACAGCAAAGAGAAGGGGACCGTCTCGTGCCTCAGTGCGTGGTGTACAGCAGGTTGCACTGCACGCTGCTTGCTGGACGCATGGGCTAACAATGTGCATGGGCATGGGCATGGGCATGGGCATGGGCATGGGCATGGGCATGGGCATGGGCATGGGCGTGGGCATGGGCATGGGCATGGGCACGGGCGTGGGCATGGGCATGGGCATGGGCATGGGCACGGGCATGGGCATGGGCATGGGCATGGGCATGGGCATGGGCACGGGCACGGGCATGGGCATGGGCATGCGCATGGGCATGGGCATGGGGATGGGCATGGGCATGGGCATGGGCGTGGGCATGCGCATAGCACATCTCACTCACGTGGGGTCGTCTCTGAGCACGTGGTATGACATGTTGCACTGCACGCTGTTGGGTGAACATGCATGAGAACGTGACCCTAGCAGCGAGTAGTATATGTGCACTACCTATCAACAACAGCAATAGCCCATATAACTCACATGGGGTCGTCTCTGAGCACGTGGTACGACTCGGCATGTTGCACTGCACGTTAATAGGCATGAGCACGTGAGACTAACAACGAGTACTGCCCCTACTACTCGCTACACATTGGGCATAGCATAGCATAGCATAGCATAGCATAGCATAGCATAGCATAGCATAGCATAGCATAGCATAGCATAGCATAGCATAGCATAGCATAGCATAGCATAGCATAGCATAGCATAGCATAGCATAGCATAGCATAGCATAGCATAGCATAGCATAGCATAGCATAGCATAGCATAGCATAGCATAGCATAGCAGAGCATAGCACATGCAATGCGACTCACGTGGGGTCGTCTCTGAGCACGTGATACGACATGTTGCACTGCACGTTACTGGGCATGAGCACGCTCAGGAAGCTGGGGGATTCGCAGGGGAAGGTGCAAGCAAACGGAAAAACGGGAAAGACGGAATCAGCAGCCTTGCTAAAGCACGCTGCTGGGCTGGGCACGAGCACACTGAGGAAGCTGGGGGGAAACGCACGGGAGGGATGGGGGGAGAGGAGGAAAGAGAAAGGCAACAGTCCTTTTTAATTAAAGCACACGGAGGAGGGTGCAGGGAAATGCAGGGGAGGGAAGGGGGAGAGGGTAATAGGGTAAGCAGTAGGGCAATAGGGCAGTAGGGCAATAGGGCAATAGGGCAATAGGGCAATAGAGAGGCCATGAAAGGACGCGGGAGGGGAGACAGGGCAAGCGATGTTGTTTTGCAAAACAAGGAAACAGGACAAGCATTGGGTCTCGTCAGCGTGCTCGTGCCCAGCCAGCCCAGCAGTGTGCTTCAGCAAGGCTGGGAAACCGGTCGAACAGGGAAACCGGACAAGCATTGGGACTCGATGGAGAGCAAAACAAACATGATCGAATCTCATTGGGCCACACTCGATCAGGTCGCAACAAGGAAAGCCAGACGCCCCATAAGAGCACACCGCATCAGAGCACACCGCATAAGAACACACATCATACAGTCACACCTTCTAGCAGCACAACCCAACAAGATGCGAGCACACACACGCTATGCAGGCACAACCTGACAAGATGCGAGCTCACCCAACAAGCGCACAGCCAGACAGGATGCGAGCACAGCCTGTAAAAGCACACCTGACAGGATGTGATGTGAGCACTGGTGGAACGTCCAGCCTCCTGCCCTGGTCACGTGGAGGACGACGAGTGTCCGGGGCACAGCATGCTTCCCACTGCCCGCCCGCTCCTCCCGCTGCCACTGCACCTCCTATTATCACACCTCATACAGTCACACACACCTTGTAAGAGCACACTGACCACTGGTGGAACGTCCGGCCTCCCGCCCTGGCGACGTGCAGGAAGAAGAGCGTCTGTGGCATGCTTGGCTCCCCGCTGCTGCTGCGCTCCTCCCGCTGCCACTGCACCTCCGCGGTCTCCGCCATCTGCACCTCCACCCATTCCTCCACCTCCGCTGCGCACGACGCATAGTCCAGCTTGGGGGGAGGCTCGGACTGACCATAACGAAGCGCTGACGCAAAGGGGGTCAGGGACACCGCTGGTTGGGTGGGGGGGGGTTGGAGGAGATGCGGGAAGGGAAGGGAAGAAGGCAGTTAGCCTAACCTAAACGGCCTTTGTATATGTACAAGCACAATGCGTCGACAATGCCAACTCAGCTCGGGTGACACTGCCACGTCAGCTCGGGTGACACTGCCTCGTCAGCTCGGGGGAGACAATCCCAAACCAAGGCTAACGCATTGGCTTAGCTTAGACTAAAATGTCGCGGTCTAGACCAAACAGGCGTACATCAAACAGGACATAGGTACATCACGAGACTGACATTTTTTTCTTTAGAGTCGACTCAAAAGCAGGCTGACAGACAATGAAGAGGAAACTTTCACTTCACTCAAAAAGGTGATTTTCGTAGATGATTTTTTAGTGGACTCAAAAGTAGACTGACAATGACGAGGAAACTTTCACACATACACCACGGGAGCACGGGAGGGCACGGGAGGGCACGGGAGGGCACGGGAGGGCACGGGAGGGCACGGGAGGGCAAGGGAGGGCGCGGGAACCATGGGGGCTTCCGCGGACAACGGAGCGGTGCCTGCCTAATCTGTAAAACTTCAGTCAACCTCTTAGAAACTTCTAAGTACGTAACAGCGAAAGTAAAGCGGAACCGTACCCAATATGACGGCGATCCACGTCGGCGCTGCGTGAGGAGGACGCATTGCTCGTCTCGAGGAAGCCATTATCGGAGCTATAGAGGAAACTGTGTAGCAAGTAGTCCCCAGACCAGAAAAGAAAACCAGAAGTGGCGAATCCTCAGGGCGTGTCACACGCCCTCATGGAACCTAGAGAATGCCGACGGTCCAGTCCAGTCCAGGCACGGGGCGATGCGAAAACGCGTGGCGAGTAACAAATCGGTTTTGATGAGTGACAAATAGTTACGATGTAAAACACGTTCCGTTATCTGACAAGTAAGGACAAGTGTGTTAGTGCTGAACTCTAAATGACATGAACCCGAATGAGTCTGATAAATCAAGGGGAATCTGACTAACTTCTTACTAACCTTGAGCACCATAGTGCTAAATATGTGTACAAGTGCAGCAAAAGCAGCAATACATACACCTACTGTGACGGTGCCAATTGAGCAAGAACGGCCATTTTCCGCTGCTCAGTCTTTTCAACTCCAGCCAACCTTTCATCAAGCCGCCCGCTCAAGTGCTCCGGGCCTTGGCTCGGCACTAGGTACGGCAGGGAGGGGGTCTCACGCCACGAGTCTGTCGACATTCCAACCAGCTCTACTGCCGACAAAGACGAGGCAGTAGCCGTTACCAAGTTATGCGGTCGCGACATCTCAAAATCCGGCGGCCTCGTGTCATTCCTCGTGTCATTTCTCAGGGTTACATCTTTCCCCAGGGTGCGTCCCTCCTCACTCATGGTCACATTGACCCCTTCACTCAAGCGGCGCTTTCCATCCGGGGTCGCCCCAATCCCATGACTCCCGGCCGGCTCACGGGCAGATTCAAACTCTCGGCCACCTGCCCGGGGCTGGAACCCGGGCTGCGCGAACGGCGAGGCGAACCGGGGCTTGTCCTCAGCTGAAAAGTGCCGTTTCTCCTGAGGGGTGGGTGGCGACATGACCCCTTGCTGCACTTTCCTCAGCAGCATGTAATCCCCATGGGGCGCATGCGCCATCATCAATTCCGCCTCCACACTCTCCCCAGAAAACCCTCCCCGCCCTATCCCCCCCCTCCCCCCTCTCTCCCTCTCCCCCCACTCCCTCCACCCCCCGTTGGCAAATTCGGCCGTGCGATCGGGCCGGTGTACGCTGCTCCCTCCCTCCTCCGCCTCATCAGAGAGTCTGAGACTGCCATGGGGCCCACCCCTTGCGCCCCGCCCCCTTGCGCCCCGCTCCCTTCCCCTCCGCTCCGTGACTTGAACTCCTCCGATGACCCCCCCCTCCGTATGTACATCTCTCCGCTTCTCCCTGGCCCTCTAAACCCCATCGTGCTCCCTCCCTCTCCCTCTCCCTCTCCTCCTCCACCTCCTCCCCATCCTCCTAATCTCCCTCGCTCACCCCCGGCTCTATCCCCATGCCTTCCCGAGCTACCCCCACTCCAGTCTCCCACACCCATCCCTGCAACAACCCCTTCTCCCGACCCTCCCCGCCCTACTGCACACATCCCCATTTCCCCACTCACTCTCTCACTCGCTCTCCCACTCACTCTCTCACTCACTCTCTCACTCACTCCTCCAACACCCATCCACACTCCACCACTCCCATCGCCATCCCCCCTCATGCCCCCTGACGCCTCCCCTCCTTCCCCTTGCCAGCTCATAGCCAGCTCAGCCGGGACCACTCTGTTCAGATTCTCCCCTCTCCCAAAACCCCGATCCATCCCCCTGCCGCCCCGATCTCGCGCATCCATCCCTCCGGACGAATCCCCACCGTTCGTTCCCGAGCGAGAAAACGTCAGAGTGGAATTGTAATAACCCCGCCTACCAACCATCCCCCCTCCATCCCCTCCTCCCCCTCTCGCTGCTCCTCCTCCTCCTGCTCCTCCCCCCGTGCCCCTATCTCCCCCCATCTCCCCACCATACTCCACCCCAATCTCAGAATCATACTCCTCCTGCTCCCCCTCCTGCCCCTCCTGCTGCTCATGCCGCCGCTGCTGCGGCTGCTGGTGCTGCTGCTGGTGGTGCTGGTGGAAGTGATTCCTTACAGGTGTGTTGGACAGCTCCATGGCAACGGCCTCCCCGAGCTCCCTGACCACCTCGCTGATGCTCGGCCGGTTGATGCCCATGGGCTCCACGCACAGGATGCCCACCTCCGCCACTTTCCACATGGCGTCCATGAGGAACTCCGAGGGGGGCAGCGTGGGGTCCACTATCGCCTCGATATCACCCTGCTGGAGGTGCTTGCGCGCCTGGGGGGGAGGAAGAGGGGGGGGGATCAGAGAGAGGGGAGATCACACATGGGCTCCACGCACAGGATGCCCACCTCCGCCACTTTTCACATGGCGTCCATGAGGAACTCGGAGGGGGGCAGCGTGGGGTCCACTATCGCCTCGATATCACCCTGCTGGAGGTGCTTGCGCGCCTGGGGGGGGAGGAAGAGGGGGGGGGGATCAGAGAGAGGGGAGATCACACATGGGCTCCACGCACAGGATGCCCACCTCCACCACTTTCCACATGGCGTCCATGAGGAACTCGGAGGGGGGCAGCGTGGGGTCCACTATCGCCTCGATATCACCCTGCTGGAGGTGCTTGCGCGCCTGGGAGGGGTTGTAGGGGAGGATGGCAAGGGGAGTGGAGGAGCGGAAGAGGGGGAAAGGAAGTGAGGTCAAGCATTGAGAGGGGAGAGTGAGGGGAGAGTGAGAGGGGAGCATGACAGGGGAGGGTAAGAAGGGGGGAAAAGGAGAGAGGCATTTGAAGGGGAGACAGCACGGAATGCAGAGAAACCCCCAAGCCAGCAGGAATGAACAGCAGTAAACAGCAGTCAGCAACACTCAATAGCAGTCAACAACACTCAACAGCAGTCAACAACAGTCAACAACACTCAACAGCAGTCAGCAGCAGTCAACAACACTCAACAGCAGTCAACAGCAGTCAACAACACTCAACAGCAGTCAACAGCAGTCAACGCACCCAGTCAATGATGTTCCAGTCGACCCTTGGTCTGTTGAGGTCGATGGGTTGTCGCCCGCTGACCAGCTCCAGCAGCACCACCCCGAAGCTGAACACGTCGCTGCGATCCGTCAGCTGCTGCACCGTGTAGTACCTGGGGTGGTGGGTGAGGGGGTGGGAAATGGGGGGTGGGATATGGGATACACGCTTACTTGTGTGCATCCATCAGCTGCTGCACTGTGTAGTACTTGGTGACAAAGGGGAAGGGGAGTGGTGGGGTTAAGGGTGTACCCATGCTGTGTGTGTGAGGCCATCACCTGCCGACCAGCTCCAGCAGCAGCAGGAGTATATTTTTGAGGCTCCTCACCAAAAATAGACTCCTCACGCGTGTGAGGCCATCGCCCGCCGACCAGCTCCAGCAGCAGCAGCAGCAGCAGCAGCAGCAGCCTGGCCTAAAAAATAGACTCCTCACGCGTGTGAGACCATCGCCCGCTGACCAGCTCAAGACTGCCATCCGATGACTCCTCCCTTCATTTGCTGCTCCCAAATCCTCATTTACTCTGGATCCAGGAGGGTATCCTGCCATCCCCTTCACATTCGTGGACACATGCAAGCTGTCCTGCGGGCCCAGCCTGGAGAGCCCAAACCGAAATCAGGGACCTACTTCCCATCAGAGAAAAGCCCTTCAAAAGCCCTCCCGTTGTCCCTCTCTCCTACCATCCCACTCACTCCCTCTGTCCGCCCACACACTCACTCTGGATCCAAGTAACCCGCTGTCCCCTTGACATTGGTCGACACGTGCGAGCTGTCCTGTGGGCCCAGCCTCGAGAGCCCGAAATCAGCGACTTTGGCGCAGAGGCTGTCGTCGAGGAGGATGTTGGTGGTCTTGATGTCGCGATGGATGATGGAGGGGCGAAGGGCCACGTGCAAATACTCTATGCCTGGGGGGAGATAGGGGAAGGGGGAAGAAAGGAAGGGAACAAGATGGGGGAAAGGGAGGAGGGACGGATGATGGACGGACGAGGAGCCCCGTGCAGGTACTATGCCTGGGGGGGAGGGGGGGAAGGAGGTGGGGGTGGGGGGGCTGGGCTGGGGAGGAGAGATGGTGAGGTTGACATATCAGAGAGTGACTGCTGATGATTTGCAAAACTGATGTGTGGTGACCTTTGAATCGACTCAAAAGGCAACCAGAACACACCTCTTTCGCAGCCACAGCAATAGATGCCACACCCCTCTTGTAAGCAGGCAATTTCATTAGACGTCTAAAAAATAAAAACCAGCTCCTAAGTGTGACATGACATCCACCCCGTCTCTCCCCACCCCACCCCTCTCCTCTCTCCCTCGCCGTCTCAATACCTTTCTTTTAGGCGCCTCGAAAATAGACTCTTCCCCCACCCTTCCCCCCTCCTCTCTCGCTCGGCGTCTCAATACCTTTGGCGGCACCAACAGCAATAGACAGGCGCTGCAGCCATCGCAGTCGGCCCCTTGGCGCTCCCAACCGGTCTGCACCGCATTCAGAGGGCGAGATGGGAAGGGATGAAAGAATATGGCAGTTCAGGAATAAAGACAGGCAGAATCACACAGGCAATGCACAGGCAAAAATAGAGACAGGCAAACTCTTTTGAGTCGACTCAAAAATAGGGACAGGCAAACTCTTTTGAGTTGACTCAAAAATAGAGACAGGCAAACTCTTTTGAGTCGACTCAAAAACAAAGACAGGCAAACTCTTTTGAGACCATCAGAAGCTGCTGCCCTCTGTACCCTCTATAGAATAGAACACTTTACAGCATCACGACCACTCATACAGTACAGGTAATCACCATAAATGTGTTCCCTCAAATTGCCCTGCGCCATGAACTCATAAACCAGCAGAAGCTGCTTCTTTTTGTACCCTTTATAATAAGCACTTTAGCCTATCATGCGTTACAGTATAGCGGCACTCACCATATAAGTGTTCTCTCAGGTTGCCCTGCGCCATGAAATCATACACCAGCAGCTGCTGCCCTCTGTACTCTTCATAGTACAATAGTTCACAGTATCAACCCCACTCAGCTCAACCCCACTCACCATATAAGTGCTCCCTCAGGTTGCCCTGCGCCATGAACTCATACACCAGCAGCTGCTGCCCCTGCTCCTCACAGAAGCCAATCAGCGCCACCAGGTGCGGGTGGCGAATCTTGGACAGGAACTTGAGCTGGAGGGAGGGAAACGGGGGGGAGGGAAGGGTAATTAATGACGGGAAAGGGAAGGGGGGAAGGGGGGGGGTAATTAATCACGAAATAACACTCCATTTTTTCCACACACACAAAAAAGAAAGAAAAAAGAAAGAAAGTACGAAAGAAAACTCTATTCTCACCTTGCTATTGAACTCTGTCGTTTCCTGCATGGAATCAACCCCGCTCTTCCCTTAGCCACGCAACCCCATTCTCCCATTCGCCAGCACCCCCCGATACACCGACACAGAACAACCAACCGCAACCATTCTCACCTCGTCATTGAGTTCGGTTGATCCCTGCATGGAGTCCACTGCTCGCCTCTTCACCACCACCACTCGCCCATTCCCCAGCTCCCCAAACATCAACACAGAACACAACAACCCGACATCCCCCCTCTAACCCCCCAACCTCACCTCGTTATTGAACTTTGTTGATCCCTGCATGGAGTCCACCGCTCGCCCATTCCCCAGCTCCCCAAACATCTACACAGAACACCCCCCTCTAACCCCATAAAGCTCACCTCGTTATTGAACTCGGTGGACCCCTGCATGGAGTCCACTGCTCACCTCTTCACCGCCACCACCCGCCCATTCGCCACCAACCCCCGGTACACCGACCCGAACCCGCCCGCACCGATCAGGTGCTCCTCACAGAACCCCCCTGAGGCCTCCTCCAGCTCCGCCAGGGTGATTCGCTGCACCTCTCCCTCACGCCAGGAAGGGCGACCCTCCCCCCCTCCCCCCCCTCCCCCCCCTTCTGCCACCCTGTTGCCCTGATTCCCGGAACCCATCCCAGAGACCCTCCAGAAAAACTCACCTCGTTATTGAACTCTGTTGACCCCTGCATGGAGTCCACCGCACGCCTCTTCACCGCCACCACCCGCCCATTCGCCAGCACCCCCCGGTACACCGACCCGAACCCGCCCGCGCCTATGAGGTGCTCCTCACAGAACCCCCCAGTGGCCTCCTCCAGCTCCGCTAAGGTCATCCGCTGCACGTGCGTGGGCGGCACAGTGAACGGCTCAGGGTCCACTGCCAGCACGTTGGGCGGGGACTTTTGTCCGTTCTGCGCTGCTGCTCCTCCTGCTGCTGCGGCTGCTACTGCTGCTGCTGTAGTTGCTATTCCTGCACCTACGACAGCTGTAGCATCATCAGCTGTAGCAGCAGCAGTGCTGGGCGGATAACCCCCACCAGCAAGACTGCCCTTCCCTCTTTCCCCACTACGGTCACTGTGGATACTCTTAGGCTCGGACACATTCCCATTGGGCAGAAGAGGCTCGGTAGAGCTTGAATTAGGCCCGGAAAGTGGCATGCTTGGCAAACCTACACCGTCCCCATACTCTCTCTCTCGATCCCTACTTCCCCCACTTCCCCCTCTCTCCCTCTCCCTCTCCCTCTCCCTCTCACTCTCACTCCCCCGCTCCTCTCTTGACCCACTGCGGGACACACCAACAGCTCTCCGCCCGCTTCCGTCCCTGCTCCTTCCACTCCCTTCCCCATACCCATCCCCTTCCTTCCCTGACCCCTCATCCCCATCCCCCCCTCCCCCTCCTCCTCCTCCCCCTGCTGCTGCTCCTGCATTCTCAGCCTCACTCCTCTTCTCCTCCCCCTCCTTCTCCTCGCCCACCTTCCTGGCCCTCTTCCTCGCCCCTCTAACGTACATCCACACAACCAGCGCAGATGCAATAGCCGCTACCAAGATGGACGCCACCAGCGATATCACCAGCACGTTCCGCCCATTGCCGTCGGAATTAGCAGGAGAAGGGGAGGGAGGAGAGGAGGGCTCAAGCGGGGAGTACGGGGGAGATGCGGCGGGGGGAGCGTGGGGGGAGGGGGGAGGGGAAGGGGGAGGGGGCAGGACTCCGCAGTTGGGAAGGTTGTAGAGGCCCTGTGGGGAGCAGAGGTCGTTGCCGGTGGCTCTGGGGAGGGGAGGCGAAGGGGAAAGGAGAGAGAAGAGGGGAGAAAAGAGAGACTCAGCAATCCGCAGGAAGACAAGGGACGGGGTTTGGAGAGGGGGCAGGAATCCGGAGTTGGGGAGGTTGTAAAGACCCAGTGGGGAGCAGAGGTCGTTACCGGTGAACCTGTGGGGGAAGAGGAAGAGAAGTATACTATTTAATGAGAGGGAAATAGCAATTTGCGGGAATTGAGAAGTATACTGCTTACTTGCGATAAACAGACGTTCTGAGTGTAGTGTAGTAACTTACACTATCTGGATGTACTGAGTGGTCATATTGAAAGGGAATACACCCGTTAGACTGTTGTTGGCCACGTTTCTGCAGCAGAGGGACGGATGGGGGAGGGAGAGTCACAGCAGCAACGCAGTGAATTTTGAGTCGACTCAAAATACACCTGATTGCAGATATGCTAGAAGACGACGTAAAAAGGACTTGACACGACACATGCTTTTAAACTGCTAGGGATAGTAATGGCGGCAGAAGGATGGGCCCACTGGAAAGACACAAGGAGAAAGGGTTGTAGACGGTTTAAGGAAAGGCACAAGGGCGCAGGGACACTGACAGCTGCACCAGTGTAGTGAGATTGGTGAGCGACTGAGGCACTACCCCCTCCAGCTGGTTGTTCTGCAGCAGACTGAAGGAGGAGGAGGAGGGAGTGGGGGGGAGATGGGTGGAGAATGGGGGAGGAGGGGAGAGATTTGGGAAATCGGATGAGAGGAGGGGAGAAGGGGTGAGGGAGGGGGGGGGGATGGGTTAGAGGGGGGGAGGAGGGGAGGGAATGGGGGAGAAGGGGGGGGAATGGGAGAGAAGGGGGATGAGGTGGACCACAAAAGCAGTGGAGACCGACAGATGCGGACCACGGCATATTGTTCTTACACAGACTGTGGGGGCGATTTCAGAAGAATAGGGTATGTAGCCTTGGATAAAAGGCAGGCAGGGCCTGCGGTTTAAGAGCAGGCAGGCCAATGCAGGCTAACGACATAAGAGGGGATGTAGCTTTGACTTTTGAGTCGACTCAAAAGTCTTCTTTTGAGTCGACTCAAAAGAACAGGGTATGCTGCAGCCGCATATAAAAGGCAGGGCCTGCAGCCTGCAGACTGCAGTTTAAGAGCAGGCAGGCCAAGCAGGCCAAGGCAGGCTCAACTCAAGGCATGACAGGGGAGGTAGCCTTGCAACCAAGCAGGTAGAATGACAGGGCGAGTATAGAGCCGGCTGAAGCCTGAAAGCTGAAACTACTCACAGCGTGAGCAGATCCCCAAGGTCGCCCAGGGAGCTGGGTATCTCCCTCACCAGGTCGTTGTCATTGATCCAGCTGGGGGGGAAGAGGAGGGAGAGGAGGAAAGAGTAGGGGAGATGGGAGAAGGAAGGGAGAAGGAAGGGAGAAGGAAGGGAGAAGGAAGGGAGAAGGAAGGGAGAAGGAAGGGAGAAGGAATGGAGACGGGCACAAGGAAGGTTACAGATGAGTACATCGCCCAGGTCATTGTTGTTGAGCCAGCTGGGGGGAGGAGGGGGAGGGGGGGGAGGGGAGATGGGGACAAGGAGGTTGCAGACAAGTAGAGCTCCCGGGGAGAGGAGTATTAGCATATGAGATGAATAGAGTGCCCAGGGAGCGGAGCTGGGTACCTCCCTCGCCGGCTTGTTCCCGCTGAGCTAGCTGGGGGGGAGGGGGGGGGGGGAAGGCGAGCACAAGGAAGGTCACGGACGAGTAGATTGCCCAGGGAGCGGAGCTGGGTACCTCCCTCACCAGCTCGCTGTTGTTGAGCAAGCTGGGGGGGAAGCAGGAAGGGAGATAAGGTCAAGGGGGTTACAGGAGGAGTCGGGCATCTCCCAGGGCGGGGAAAGGGAGAAAGGAAGAAAACAGAGGAGCAGAAGCAAAACGGCTACAAGGAGAAATGGAGCACGAGAGGTGTTGCAGAGGTGGGAGGGGTCTCACAGGTGTTAGAGGGGCGAGAGGGAGCTCACATGTGGGGCAGGGAGAAGGGAGTAGGGGCGGCTCACGAGTGTGGCAGAGGGGGAAGGAGACTCATAGGTGTTGGAGAGGGGGAAGGAGGCTCACAGGTGTTGGAGGCGGGAGACGTTAGCAAGGGAGGGGGAGATGGAGCCGTGGAGACTGGAGTTGCCGAGGTAGCTGGTGGTGGGATGAGGGGAGCGGGGAGAGAGGAGAGAAAGTGAGGAGTTAAGCGACCAGAGATAAGGAGATGGCGCCGTGGAAACTGGAGTTGCCGAGGTAGCTGGTGGGGGGAGGGGAGCGGGGAGATTGAGAGGGCAACAAACAGAGAGGGAGAGATTGAGCGATGGAGCCACGGAACCAACCTGTAGTTGCTGTCAGTGGATCCATGCAGGTGCTGGATCGGGAGAGGGGAGAGGGTAAGGAGTGCAGCAAGCAGCGTCATGGGATTTGCCTTTTGGAGCTCTCAAACGCAAGGGAGGGAGGGATGGAGCCACATGCCGAGGTGGCTGGGGGGGAGGGAGGGGAGAGAGGGAAGGCGCTGAAGTGTGAAAGCCCCATCATGTGACAAGAGTGCAGCACACAGCGAGTGACAAGTGATGAGATCCGCTCTAAGCAAGAGAGACGGGACTCGACTCCCCATCATGGGGCACGCTGACATTCGTGAGCAAGGACTCCCCATCATGGGGCACGCTGACATTCGTGAGCAAGGACTCCCCATCATGGGGCACGCTGACATTCGTGAGCAAGGACTCCCCATCATTGGGCACGCTGACATTCGTGAGCAAGGACTCCCCATCATGGGGCACGCTGACATTCGTGAGCAAGGACTCCCCATCATGGGGCACGCTGACATTCGTGAGCAAGGACTCCCCATCATGGGGCACGCTGACATTCGTGAGCAAGGACTGGGCACGCTGACATTCGTGAGCAAGGACTCCCCATCACTGCATTGCATCCCCGCCCACCCACTTAGGTTCCCCCATCTCTTCACTTCACCCCCTCCCTCCCCCCAGTTCCCCTTATGTCCATTCCTCCCCTCCTCCCCATCCCCCCCCCCCCACCCCACTCACATGCCGCTGACATGGGACTCGCTCTCCCCCTGCGTCTGCGTGCACTGTATGCCCGCCCACTTGATGGGGTTGCATGGATCCGACCCCTGCCACCCCGCCAACGACGCTGGCGCCCCCAACGCCTGCTGGAAGTCACGCAGGGCCGAGACTGGGAAAGGGAAGGGACGAAAGGAGAAGGGACGAAAGGAGAAGGGTGAAAGGGAAAGGGGTGAAGACTGGAGAGTGGATGGGTCCGCCGCCTCCTGCCACCCCGCCGAAGAGGCTGGCGCCCCCAACGCCCGCTGGAAGTCACGCAGGGCAGCGACTGGGAAAGGGAAGGGAAGGGGGTGAAGTGAAGGTGGGGGGGGGAGGGGGAAGCAGGGAGCAGGGCAGTGGAGGAAGGGAAGGAGAAGGGCTTGAAAGGGAAGGAGAAGGGCTTGAAACGGTTACACGGGTCTGCCCCCTGCCATCCTGGCAAAGAGGCTGGCGCCCCCAAAGCCCACTGGAAGTCATGCAGGGCTGGCCTAGAATGAACAAGCGGGGGGAAGAGGGGAGAGGGGAGCGGAGAGGGGGAAGGGGGAAGGAGTGGGTTTGGCTGCAGGTGCGGGCTTGGCTGCAGGGAACAGCTTGTACATCTATATGCCACTGACTGCTGGCAGCAGACGGCTCAGGCTATCCATTGCAGGCCGCAGCACGAGACGAGCGCCAAGGGAGCAGCAACGCAAAGCAGCATACAGCCCTACCTGAGCCTACTCAGGCAGATTTGAACGAATGGAAAGGGGGGAACACGGGCGACTGGAAAGGGGGGAACACGGGCGTGCGCCTCTCTCACCTTCAGCAGCGGGCGTTGGCTTGGCCGCATTGAACACCTCGTACATCTCAATGCCGCTGACTACTGGCGGCAGGCGGCTGTCACTTGACAAGGTTTAGGTATTGCTGCGTACAGGGCACTGTCAGGGAACAAGGGTGGGTCTTTCTCTCTCACCTTCAGCAGCGGGCGTTGGCTTGGCTGCTGGGAACACCTCGTACATCTCAATGCCACTGACTACTGGCGGCAGGCGGCTGGTTACCGCAGGCGTCAGCAGCAGCGTGGCAGGGGTGTACAGATCCACACTGGTGAAATTCACTGACACCATCACCACCTGCTGCCCGTACAGGGCAATGTCAGTGCCACTCGCAGCAGCAGCGGGCGCGGGTACAGGAGAAGCAGCAGAAAGGTGGGTGGTAGGAGGAGCAGTGGCAGCAGCTGGGGGGGCGGTGGGAGCCGCAGCAGCAGGAGGAAAGGCAGGAGGCGACAAACCGGCCGGAGCAGCAGCAAGACCAACCGCAGCAGCACGAGCAGTCACATCACCACCACCGCCACCAGGAGCCGCAGCAGCATGCGCAGTCAAATCCCTCCCACCACCACCAGCATCACCCCTTCCGCCAACGCCACTCATCCCAGCCACTCCTACCCTCCCTTTCCCCTGCAGCTGCTCAAACAGATCGAACCCCGCAAACACCAGCTGGCCATTGAGCTCGATATCAAACACCATGTCCCCGGCCCTCTTCACGCGCCCCTCCACGTTCGCAAAGTACAGGATCAGCTGGAAGTTGGCGGGGCTCTCGAGGAATTGGAACTCGTACTGCAGCCCGTTGGCTTTAAGTGCTTGGGGCATCGTGCGAGCTGTCAGCTCGAGGAACGAGGGAGCGGCATTGAGGGTTCCATTCCCGGTGCTTGCTTGATCTGCTGCTGCTGCTGCTGCTGCTGCCGCTGCTGCTTCTGCTGCTGCTGCTGTTGTGGTTGCTGTTGCTGGCGTTTCTGCTGCCCCTGTGTCTATCGCTGCTGTTGTTGCTGTCGTCGCGTGTGCCACTTCTACTGCTTCTTCAGAAGGTGATTCTCCCACCACCACCCTCCCCGAATCCCCAATGCCGAATGCAGCAGCGCTGGCTGTGGCGCCAATGGCCGCCTTGACTCTGACCGGCGTGCCAAAAACGATGGATTCTGGCGAATAGTCAAACATGAGACTGGACGAGGCTGCCCCCCCACTCGTTGCTAGCACGCCATCCGCATCCCATATGCGGTCTAGCGGGTCGTAGGGGTAGCTGGAGGGATGGAGGGATGGAGGAGGGGGGATGGGGCCGGAATGGGGGAACAAGGGAAGAGAGAGATGAGGGAGTGTAGTCAAACTTGAGACTGGACGAGGCTGCCCCCCCACTCGTTGCTAGCACGCCATCTGCATCCCATATGCGATCTAGCTGGTCATAGGGGTAGCTGGATGGCTGGAGGGATGGCGGGATGGTGGGTTTAGGGGTGGAGGGATAGAGGCATCATGAGAGAGCCATGCGAAAGTGATAGGGGCAGGATGGTGCTCAACGCCCGGGCGGGGCAGCGTAACCTTACCGCCTGGGCGCAGCGTAAACTTACCGCAGCATGCGGTTGAAGTGGGTGTTGATGGCGCAGAAGAGGCGCATAGAGAGGTGGCTCAAAGCGCCATCAAGGGAGAGCGCAGCACAACAGCATAACCTTACCACCTGGGTGGGGCAGCACAGCCTTACCGCAGCATGCGGTTGAAGCGGGTGTTGTTGGCGCAGAAGAGGCGCCACCACAGCAGCATCACCCCCGTGGGGTCGGGCAGGGACACGTAGGACGCTGGCGGCAGCGGCCTCAGCTCTATGGCGTTCACCAGAGGCTTGCCGTAGATGCTGACGAAGCAGACCTGGAAGGAGGGTAGGGAGTGCAGCATGCAGATGGGGAGCGGACAGGAGATTGAGGGGTCTCAGCTCAGCTCTATGGCGTTCACCAGAGGCTTGCCGTAGATGCTGAAGAAGCAGACCTGGAAGGAGGGTAGGGAGTGCAGCATGCAGATGGGGAGCGGACAGGAGATTGAGGGGTCTCAGCTCAGCTCTATGGCGTTCACCAGAGGCTTGCCGTAGATGCTGACGAAGCAGACCTGGAAGGAGGGTAGGGAATGCGGCATGCAGATGGGGAGCGGAAACAAGAAGGAAGGTGATTGAGTGGAGGCTAAGAGGAAGCTTTGTGGAAAGACCCAATGTAGAGAGCCACTTGCCCCTTGTGTTCCCACGTATCTCCAACTCGGTTGAGTCCACCTGCCTGCCCTATGATCTCAGACTCCACTCATTCCTTGAGCGCAAGCACGGTTGCATTTAAACTGCACTCCAGAGAGCCCTGGTGTAACGGCTCACAGCGCTGCTGCCACCCACGCCCAGTGTTACTCGCGTAACACTTGAGTTGGTCCCACGTACCTCGAGCTCAGTCGGGTCCACCTGCCCTATGATCGCAGGCACCAGGCACCACTCTCTCTCCTTGAGCGCCAGCATAGCTGCCAACCCGAAGTGACCCACAACCAGTGTTCGTACCTCGAGCTCGGTCGAGTCCACCTGCCCTATGATCTCAGACACCACCCGCTCCTTGAGCGCCAGCACCACCGTCGCCCTGCACACAGCACAGCAGCCGGACTCAACCATTTCAAACAGTTTATGCTTGAACCGTTCGAAAGAGTGGAGGGTAGGGGCACAACTGTCTCACAAAATTGCAGGAGGTGCGAAGCCAAAGGCTAGAGTTAGATAAGCAATTCAGCATCACACTTACGCATTACAAAGGAGACAACTTCTGACTCGACTTTGAAGAAACTCAGCATCACACTTACGCAAAGGAGATCCCAAAGGAGACGTTGAATGCGGGCGGGCTCTTGGCATTGTCGTAATTCCCATAGTACATCACCAGGCGCAGCAGATAGCGCCCAGGCCTTGCCACAGGGATGTTGTAACAGTTAACGGGGTACTCCTTAAAGACTCGCATGGTTGCATCCACGTCATCGGCCCCCCACTGCTTGCCCTTGGGCGGCGGCGCTTTGTCCACCACTCCTGTGGTGAAATACTTGTCCGGCTGCCACCTTATTCCGGTGAGTTTATCCACAAACGGGGGGCCAAAGTACCCGCAGTTGATACTAACGAAGCCTGCAGGACGGGAGCGGCAGAAACCCCAGCCAGGGCAGCCCGGGATATGGGGCAGCCCGGAAAATGGAAACACTGCATTAGCACATTGTGCAGCCATCACGCGCCCAGCAGCACCAGCAGCCACAGCAGCCACAGCAGCCACAGCAGCCACATCAGCCACAGCAGCCACAGCAGCAGCAGCAGCCACAGCAGCAGCATTGATCTACGACGATGTGTGCGAAGGCAACCGCAAGCTAGGTGTCAGCAGCAGCACCACACACACAACCACGTCCTCCAGCATACCAGCATACCAGCATACCAGCATACCAGCACACCAGCATATCAGCATACCAGCACACCAGCATACCAGCATACCAGCATACCAGCACACCAGCATACCAGCATACCAGCATACCAGCACACCAGCATACCAGCATGCGTCAATCCCGCCAGAGCAAGCGTGCACGGTGGGCTATACATACATACACCTAACCGTCCACTGCTCGCCTAACCGTCCATTGCTCGCCTAACCGGCCACTGCTCGCCAAGCCGTCCACTGCTCGCCTAACCGTCCACTGCTCGCCTAGCCGTCCACTGCTCGCCTAGCCGTCCACTGCTTGGCTAGCCGTCCACTGATCGCCCAACCGTCCACTGCTCGCCCAACCGTCCACTGCTCGTCCTTGGGCCGTACCACGAAACCCTAATACCTGGTCTTCATCAATTTTGTCCATTACGCAGGCTGACGTCAGAAACACGTACCACGAAACCCTAATATCCGGTCGTCATCGATTTTGTCCATTACGCAGGCTGACGTCAGAGGCACGTACCACGAAACCCTAATATCTGGTCGTCATCAATTTTGTCCATTACGCAGGCTGACGCCCAGAGAGGCACCCATCCCATTCATCCCGTATACACACAGCCTCGTTTGAAACTAAAGAATGCCGTGTCCGCTCAGTCTGCTTTACTGGCCTCAACAACACAAAACACGGCTCCAATAACGCCAGCATGGAAAATAACCCGCTCACGAAAGCACATCCTGTCGAACCCTAATCCGTACCACATCGATAAGCAAGCCAAAAAAGTCACTCACCGAAACCGTGTGAGGACAGCCGACACCCCCCCTCCTCAACCCCCCCCCCCAAAGCTAGGTGAGATATTTGTGATAGCTGGGACCACACCTCTTGCACCCCAACTTTGCCGTCAACGGTACATTCTTAGACGCTACTCCGCCGCACAAAGATCACCAGCCAAAATCAGCTCCACACCTCTTAAAGCGGCAAAGGACGGAAATCGCTAACCCTAAAAAAGAACCCCGCAATCGTATCTGCTCCAGCGACATCCGAGGCATAACGCATGGCACAACCGCATCTTGCGACCGCCGGTTCGAGGACACGACGTTCGAGTACATGACGGCACGCATAGTGAAACTGAAAATGCCTCGCCTAAAATTACAGCTGATACTTAAAACAGCATTCTGTGGCGAACCCCCCCAAGCCAGCTGACAGATGACAGATGACTACCAGTGGCAGAATCGAAATCAAACCGCCGGAACCTAGGCATAGGAGCTTGCAACGAGCCGAACCCTAACGTCTGCGAAACACCGTCCTGGAGCCAGGGACTGTAGAGAGGTCGCAGTAGGCTGGGCGACTATGTGAGTGGTAACCCTAACGTCGCGAATTCTGCTAATAAGGTTCCGCGCAAGCTTTCGTCTGAACGAACCGTGGTTTCGCTGTGTCTAAGCAGCTCTAAGCGAAACTATTCTCAGAGAACTAGAGCTTCTTGGACTTTTCGTGCCCTCGGACATAAGCTTCAGTCAGCCAGCCAGGATAAGCTACTAACGAGTAAGAACGTCCCTTAACAGAACTAATGAACCTGATGAACTTATGGACTGCCAGCGAGGCACTAAGCACCAAGCTGCTCTGCCACTAACCTGCTTGAGAAGGCAGACTCGTCCCGGTATTAGCTAAAAGCCGCTCCGGATGCGACTGAGACGAGTGTAAACTGGCCGACGTTCCTGGAATCCTGGCGGGATGAACGGCTAGGATCGCCAACGAAAGGAGAAGAGAGCCAGCGTGGACTTGATTCCATCTGACACCTGCTGGTCTAGGCCTCTGGTGGGACGAGCTTACACACGGCAGGCCGGGACTGAACCTGAAACTGGCAGAGATCAGCATGCTACCGATTTCGACGCTGCTGCCATGTGCTGCTGCTGCTGCTGCTGTTGCTGCGGCGGCGGCGGCGGCGGCGCCGTAGTACGTGTATAAAAAACGACGCTTTGCTGGCAGTCCAGAGGCCTCCGGCAATGCCTAATCTTATAACTACGCGTACGGCGCTTTGTTGGCGTTTCGGACGAATTCCGTAGCGATTTGACTTGTCTAAACTAGACAGACCTTAAGCGGGCAAGAGACAAGTCGTGAATGAAACAAGTTTCAAATCGTCGGCTATGGCGTGACTACGTCACCAGGTTGCACCCACGACCGTCGTCCGAGCAAAGTTTGACTAGGCGGGTCCTCCTCCCCCCAGTGCTTTGTACTGTATGCTGCTGTGGTCTGGTTGGGCAAAAGAACGAATGAACGGCGTACAGTAATGCTGTTCTGTGCATGTGTGGGGTGGTAGTGCTTTGTACTGTTATGCATTCTGCAATTCTGCACCCAGAGTCTCTTTTCCTGGAACGGATAATGAAATATGTAGAAAGCGGTTACGTGAGATGAGATGAGTTGAGATGCGTTTCAGTGTGGTGATACCTCGCCTCAGAATCTTGGGGACAAGATAGAGGGAGTTGAGTTGAGTTGTTGTTTGAGTTGAGTTGAACCGCGTCGATTATGGAGTGTCACACGTTCACAATTCGCTTTACACGGTTGAGAATGGTGCGTGATGTTCCAGAGAGTTGAATCACAATAACCGTCCTTGACCGCGAGGTAACCTATTGCACCTCACAAAACGAGCAGGAATCCTAACCCACCCTTAATCCAACAACCAAGCTGCCGGTAGCCTTGCTGATCTACCGGCTTTCCGCTCCAACTAACGCTTTATCGTCTGCTTTGCAGGCGGGAAAATATTTGTGGGGAAACGTGACGTTTGGAAGGTCTCTGACACGAGTACCACATGACGGTCATTGGCTGGCTGGGGGCTGGCGGCTGATGGCTGACTGGTGGCGAAACATTGGGGGAAACCTTGAAGGCAATAGACCCGAGGCTGTGGCTGGTTACCCATGGAGGCAGTGTGGAAGGTTTTGGTCTGGTTCGGACATGAATAGTCTCACGCAGGGAAGCACACAAGCACACTTCCGAACCAGGGGGAGGCATACCAGCCGACGAATTATTTCCTCCAAGCTTGATTGAACCGCAAGGTTTTTCTAAGCCTAACCCTGTCTTTTTTTTGGGTTGTAGTAGGGACAGCCTTCACTGACGTGAATTAAACCCCTTCCCTCCCTCCTCCGCCCAAAGCACATAAGGCCCCAACCTCCCGTACAGGATGTAGCCTCAGGGCGCGCCCAAAGTTGCCGAATTGTAAATCGCCTTCTAGAGTCGACTGCGTTGCACACAACCAGGGTCAACTGTATCCAACCGAGCTAAACAAGAAATGAACGATTATTTTTCCTTTCTAGGAAAGCCCTCAGGTCGATATTTGTCAGTAGTGAGGACTCCAGGCTCAGGAAATACAAATGTTCTCAATGCTCGAGCATTCTCAAGGCAGCCAAAGAGCAGCCGAAATGTAGACCCAAGGATTCACGGCAAAGTTTTGGGTAGCCTAGAACACCTGTCTGCCCACAACCCAAACGAAATCTCTGCCCGCAAACCAAACCACCTTTGCTCAGACCAAACCATGGCAGTCGTGTCCCGTGGTTCGGAGCAGGCTAGGGCAACAGAGCGTGGAATGGTTTGATATGAGAAATGGGAACAGCCACGGATCTGTTGTTGTGGGCAGTTTGCCGCGCGCCAGCACCGTAGCGAAGCGCGGACCTGCCGCGTTCCGAAGCTCGACTGACATCAATTAACCAAACCAAGAACGAGTCCCCAACGATGACCTTGGAAAAGGTGCTGCGATACTACTACTAGCCACGCTAATGAAAACCGATCTTGGTGTAACAACGTGTCAACACGTGTTTATGACAAGAAAATCGAGGCATTTCCCTTGCGTATCATGGGCCTGTTTGGCAGGCTCCCACGCTGAAAAGTTCTACAGCCATAAGAGTTGAGAACTATATCATTTTCTTCTGTGTGATGTCATCTTTCCTTTCGAGGCCTTCGTTTAGTGCCCTACATGCATTTATCCGTCCAAATACACATGCTCTATGGAATTGGCTGACAATTTTTTTCACGTAGCTCGAGAGTGTAACCAGAAATATTTTTTTAACATGGCAAAGAGGACATTGAGCTAAAGTTTTAACTCTACCTCCCGTGATTCTGAGTTTGCTTGGTGCGAGATTTATACGAAGTTGGATCTAAGGGCGTATTCCTACGGAGCAGTGATCAGTACCAGCAACGAAAATGGGTTCATGAACACTAAGAATGGATTTTCTTACCGAGTCCAGTTCTAGGACTAGAAGCCAGCTTGGCCGCTCACGTGCCTTGTGATTGGTGGGTCTTCTTTATGACCTTCGCGAACAGTACTTGGCGCGTCGCATGCATGCCGCGTGACACTCCGTTCCATCGAAATGAATCATGTGAATCGTGCCACACACTTGTGAATCGCGATATCCTGGTACTGAACAGCGTCTAGTAAATCAGGTATTACAGGGTGGTGTTCATACGCATTTTTTTATATCCTGGTATTGAGCAACACTCTGTAGGAATATGCCCTAGGAGCGTATTGCTATAGACAAGTGTTTAGTACCAGCAAAGGGAACCCCGTTCTTGAACACCATGCTATAATTGCCGATTAGCAGGAAGTTGTTCAGCACCAGTAAAGCATGCTTCGCAAGCATGGGCTCGGCGACTAAACAATGCGAAACAAACAGCCACACACGCGTCGTCGCCAGGCCAAACGGAAAGTGAACACCGCTGCCCAGAAAGCCAAATTTGCAACCCATACACGTGCGTACGTTTTTGTTCGTGTACAGGCGAAGCTCGTCAGAGTCACACAAGATTTTAGGGTGCCGGGGATTCAAGCGGTCAGGTATTTCGCTGTCCCTCGCCACGGGCAAATGAGGCTTTCGCACGAGCACACGGCGAAATGGGTGGGTATTTGTGGGGGGGGCTTGTGTGGCGATATTTGTTGCGAGTGTGCGACTCTTGTGAAGCGATCAGGCGACGGCGGTGCACAGTTCCGTGGCGACGAAATGTCGTCGTCAACGATTTGTCCCTTGCTATATGCTGGTCGCAGACGCAATCATGAGTGACTCAAACGGATATCACATTGCCCCTATATCGGAGGTTTTGGGAACGGATTCTGATTGGGCGCCAGGTTGAGCTGCGATAAGGTTGGGCATCGTCTGTATGTGGCACTGCGGCTTGTCGTCTCGACGAAACGGAGTGACACAAGGCATGCATGCGACGCGGGGGGTTCTGTTTGCGAATGTGACTGTGTCGGCCAGCCAATCACACCACACGTGCGCGAACATGCAAGTTTGTGGTCCTGGTACTGGACTTGGTAAGATTTGTCAATCACGGTGTTCAGGAACCCGTTTTGCTTTGCTGGTCTGAACACCAGTCTGTAGGAATATGCTCTAAAGCAAAATGGGATCTATCTGGGGTTGATCTTGTGGTTGTAACGAGTCTACACACACTGTCCACTCCCATTTCCTGGCTCAAGGTTAAATGTGTGTTAATCAAATGCATATGGCTTTCGATTGTTCCCACATCAGCATGGCTTGTTTTCCTTGACAAATGGTCCTCTTCGAGTGCTCAATTCGTTGTGATAAGGGGCAGAAAAGGGGGACTTAACACCTAGAATGAAACATGGCAAAATTTCGTCATTAATGCGCCATTTCTAGCGTGGTTTGAATTGGACTGGAGCTAGCCCTATGAAAGACCAACCTCCAGTTCAATTTGCAGCCCGTTTGGCGCACGGATGTGGCCTATGGAGCATTTTGAATATATCTTTAATATATTTCATAGCGGAGCCAGATGGCATTCCTTTAGAGCCGCAGAAGCGGTGGACTACCTCTAAATGAAGTGCGGTTGATGGCTCTGGTTTCATAGCAAAGAACTGCCGCAGATTGTCCCACGTGGCATCTCAATGTCACCGATCTGACACGCACGTGACTCCCGCGTCGATGACTTCACAGTCAAGGAAGGCACACCAAAAGCCAGGGCCAGAGGACCATACACCCACAAACAAAGGTGCGTGCTACTTAGCGGTCAGGTGGGGGCGGAAGCTATAAATACCCTGTCAACCACCTTCTTTTGTGTCATTTCTCCGTCGGAACCTCCGCTTATGCAGTCGAAATTTTCCTTGCAACGCTTCGTCGACTCTCGACTGCTTGTTTACGCTATGGCTGACGGAAACCTCGAGGTGTCTATGTCCAGCATTCAGGCTGTGGTCAACAGGGAGGAATACGAGCAGCTCAAGGATTACTCTCTCTAACTCAATGAGGCGCTGATAAACTGTGGTTTCGCGTGATTTATCTAACCCTCGCTCCCTTAATCCGTGTCCTCTAAGCCTCACTCCCATAGTTTAACTATCGTTCGACAGCTCACAGAAAAGGGCCTCACGCGAGAGTGCGAAGGGTCATTTTAAAACATGTCTTTCCGTCACTTCTTTCATCTCACAGAAATGCGTCTCCCCAAGGTCTACGACTTTCATTTGCTGATTGACTGCTTATCTGTCTTTCGATAGCTCACATAAATGAGGCTCCCGTAAGACAGCGAAGGAACGATTTAGCATGTGTATTTTCGTAATTTCTTTCATCTCACATAAATGCGTCTCGCGAAGGTCTGCGACTTCCATTCGCTGATTGACTGTTAATCTGTCTTTCGATAGCTCACAGAAATGAGCCTCCCGGAAGACAGCGAAGGAACGATTTAGCACTTCTTTTATCTCAAAGAAATGCGTCTCCTGAAGGTTTACGATTTTTATTCGCTGATTGACTGCTTATCTGTCTTTCGACGGCTCACAGATGTGAGCCTCCCATAAGACAGCAAAGGATCGATATAGCACGTGTATTTCCGTCACTTCTTTCATCTCACAGAAATGTGTCTCCCGAAGGTCTGCGAATTTCATTCGCTGATTGACTGTTTATCCGTCTTTCGATAGCTCACAGAAATGAGCCTCCCATAAGACAGCGAAGGAACGATATAGCACGTATATTTCCGTCACTTCTTTCATCTCATAGAAATGCGCCTCCCAAAGGTCTACGACTTTCATTCGCTGAATTGATTGTTTATCTGTCTTTCGATAGCTCACAAAATTGAGCCTCCCGTAAGATAGCGAAGGAAGATTTAGCACGTGTCTTTCCGTCACTACTTTCATCTCACAGAAATGCATCTTCCGAAGGTCTACGACGTTGTCCTTGTGACCGTTAATATGGCATTCTGTCAAATGCAGATACTTTGCCAACAAGTTTTTGACACCAGAACAACTCGAGCAGCTCTTGATTGTCCCTTCGAAGAGGCCAGCTTGGCCTATGGC